GTTGTAAGGCTGCGCTTGTTCCACCGCTGCGGATCGGGGCGCTTTTCTGTAGAATTTCGTCAAACATCTCGGAAAGTGAGGGAGTGTACGCCTCGGGGCGGGGCGGGGCATTTTCGGCGTGTTTTTTTTATTTCGGCCCGAAATAAAAATGGCCTTTTCGGCCCACCCCTAACCATTATATTTCACAAACCACCACATCGTACATCTTATCACATAGCCAATAGGTTAGTGAATGTGATAATATGAACACAATGGCTACAGCTATGCCTAGTAGAGCTAGCTAGCGGGCACGTTGGAGGGCCAGCACATCTCTGGAAAGGTCAGCTACCAGCTACACCACAGGGGGACGATCTGCAGTGGAGAATAAAGCACCTGGTACCAAAAGCGAGTAGTAGTTGAGTTGAGCAGTTACCAGGTGATGGAAAGGGGGCTTAAGTGTCAAGTTTAACCTGTAGTGAAGGTTATCATCATGCCCACTCAGAAATGAGTGACATAACCATTATCGCTAACTGTGCTAATGACCACTCACCAAATGTGTATCTAAGGCATCCTACTTTCCCTCTTACTCATCATTTTGTATTTCATTTAAATATGCTTTACTGAATTTAATAAAGTGAGTTCCACTGCATGTAGGTGAACTGTCGACTCCTTCTCATTCTGCTCTTTCTATTGCTATTACAAACCAATCTTCTTGAAAAGGCTTCACCGTTGCATTAATGTTTAGCTTGGCTAACTTGATAACCACATAAAGGTGAGTAAACTATTCCTTTATGCATTTGTTTTTCTGAGAAGTGTACAGTATATATAACGTGCTAGGTAGGCTGTGTGCTTATTATAGCACCGTGTGAAATCAACACACCATGACCTCAAACAACCAGTAGATAAAGAAGCACACACCCACACATACGACATGACAGGACATAATGACTGGACTCAGCCAATTTTCATTATAAATGATTATTATGGAAAAACAATTCCAAAGTAGGTAAAATGAATTACCAATGGTCACTTAAACAGTGTTGTCATGTAGGGCTCATAGCGACAAGAAATGCCTGTTTTCAAGCATGCAAGAAGCTAAAAGGAAGAAAGACATTTTCATTTTATGACACTATCACACCAGAAACACAAAAAGGGGGTCTAGTCTGTTTTATAAAAGAGACAAAACGGATGTGGTGTTTTGAGTACTGTTCTGACTAGATAGGGGTGAAAAGGAAATAAAGATGAAAAGTCGGTAAGAGTTAACAGATGAGGTGGCATCCTGCTAACAAAGGTGAGCAGAAAAGAGGCAAATTGGAGAAAAGTGAGTAAAAGCAGTGAAGAAGGGAGCTGAATGTAGAGAAAGAGAGTAGCATGTAAGCATGTGGACTGTAAATGAGAGCAAGAACAGGAAAAGAGGGATGGCCTGAAGGACATGGGAAACTCGAATAAAGACTGAAGACAGGTGCAGGAACAGAGGATGAATAAAGAAATATGCAGTATGGGAGGGTAAGATGAGTCAGCAGGGGAGAGTAGTAATAAAGAGGTGCACACTGTTGAGATGCTGTGCTCCAGCGGACAACACTGAGTGTATCATCGCTCCTGCAGCTGCTGCAGTTATGATAAAGGTCACATGGCAGATGAAGGCAGCTAAAATGTCAGCAGCTAATTTTTCTACCACATACTTATTCTGACCTTAACCACTTCACTGATTCTGCATGTTAAGGGTCTGTGTATAGCGAAGTTCCAGCTGTCCTTGGTTACCTGAGTTACCATCTAACAAGCAAAATGTTTGCTACAACTAATGGCCACTATACAAGAGTAACAGTATTGAATTATGGGTGTTTTACTGCAGAGCTGGATGTGTGGGGGTTAGAAATACTGTGCTTTATTGATATTGGAATGCATTAAAATTTAACTTTTAAATGTCAGCCTTTGATTACCTTTAACAACAGACTTGTTGCTGGCACTTCTGTACTTTTTAGCACTAGGTTGGAGCAGATAGCAGATATTTTGGAGCATCCAAACTATGACCAGTAAGAACAACCATCACTCAGTTATAGTACAGTCATTACCTGGTGAAAACAATTTTCAGCCAACACACCCAATACGTTACATCACCCTCATCATATCTGTCTTTGTAGCATCTCCCCGGTCTCCACATCGACTGACTGTTATGTTCAGATCACAAATCCTAAGGTCGAAAGTACTGGAAAATCAACTCACAAGTGATTCCCCATCCACTAATACAAGGTTAACAATGTACAAACAAAGATTAATTCTGGGGTTTGCCAGTCTCTCCCCATGCTATAAAAGATGTGCTATATCCCTTCACCCCAAAACATTGCAGAACATATGACAAACAGATTAAACTGTCACCTAATGAAGCATATGCAAACAAAACATTTCAATTTTTGTCTTAGCCTGTTTCTACCAAGAATTAGAGCAGAACACAAAAGAGACAAGGGCTGTGCTAGCACCAACTCCACTGATCACATTCTTATTATCTTTACGTTTACCTTATTATCTTTCTCTTATTATCAATTACTCGCTTTGTTTAGTGTTACACATCTCTTTTCATTGGTACATATACCGTTGTTTACCAACTATGGAAGAGAAATTCCAATTAATTAATGCCACTGGCAACAGGAGCTGTACGCATTCACAAACTATCCTCTCGATTTTAGGAAGAGGCTCTCTGGTTTTATCGTTCTGAAATAATTACATACTATTTGGAGTTATGAGGGGTGCCTAACTAATCTAGAGGTACCTAGGATTAAACATTAAATGGCTGAAATGAGCAAAATGAGCAGCCATGGGCACTTTAAGTAATAACCAAAATAAATATAAGCAGCACTAAAAAGCTGTACATAAAAACATCAGTATGCCAGTGCAAGGGGAAATCTCTTAATCGGGCAACACAGCAGTTAACGGACGTTTGTGATGGCAGTTGAGGTATGACCTTGATTCACCTCACTTTGACGCCTGAAGCTGCCGTCTGTCAGGGCAAGAAGGCTCCATCTTAACCACAATCCAATCCACTTCACAAACTGGTGCGTAGCACATAAAGACAACCTTGCAGATTCTCACACATAGTGAAACTGACTGAATGAAAAACTTCAGCATGAAGTAAAGCTGGTAAAGGATAGATATACTCAGCTGCTCAGCAGCTATTTATTGGTACAACTAACAACAACGAACGCCGCTTAATAAAGCTTAAATAAACAGTCTGCAATAAATTGTACCTTACTGATGGTTATAATGTTCAGTTTTGTTTGCAGAGGTGTTGATTCAACTGTCAGATCATGTTGCAGGCTGCTGAACTGTACTGCATCACTGAGAGGAGCCTCTAATACAGTAGACAGTTAGTCCTTATTAGCCAAGTGAACCTAGCGATATTATTGTGTTTGGCTGCAGAAACATGTTTCATAGAATGGATCTAACAGACGTTACGAATTATAATCAAAAGCATCTGAAGATTCTGGGTTAGATGATACAATGGGAAATTGCTTCATCACATAAAAAGCAACTTTTGCTAAATTGACCGATTTGCATTAATAAAATACTATAATCATAAATTACATATCCCAGTTCTGGTAATGTTTACTGACAGGCTTATACTGTTTTTCCTATCATCTGTCCATTTTCACACTGATTTATCTTTAAATTAAGAAAACATAACCCTTTGAATGAGTTGTCGTGGTTTACTATAAATATGACCTAAAAGGTGCATCAGCATTAGAACTGTACATAATCCCATAAGAGGACAGCACTGTGAGCAATGCAAGCTTGTCATGGCCTTGTGCAAGTATATGTATAAGCACCTACACGGTTACTTTATCAGAATAAAGACTCTTGTGTAAAATAACTTATTGTGAACTTACGCGGCATGATCCCCTGGTTGACAAGTTCCTCTCTAGTCCTCCTCTGCTGCAGCTTCAGCTGAAGAACTGAACACCGAGGCAAAAGAGGAAGCAGAAACAAAACTTGGTCGGTTGCTGTAGAATATGTATATGAAGATCTTACCATCAGACCAGTTCATCATTCCTCTGTCAGTTCATAGTTGCAGAAAGCCAAAAAAATCAAATAAAAATGCCTATGAACAAAGTGTAGGATCAATAAATACGAGTAATGGTGTAATGTTATGGTACTCTACAGATCCTGTTAGCTGCTAGCGATCAAAACTGGGGTCCTCTGCGAGAAGACGTACAAAGGTTATGTCACACACTATAACAGGAAGGGAAACACACGTGAACAGGCACAGAAACAGATGCAGCAGCAGTTTCCAGTTTCAAGTACACACAGCACACACACACACTTTACCTCTGCCTTCATGATACACAGATAAATGAAAGCTACTGTATATTTTTATGTAATTTCATTCACCCCCGTGTTGATTAGATTAATCAAAATGTGGCCTGTGGAAACACTGAGACAAATGGCTTTTCCACACATCCTGACCGTGTGCTATTAGCTCTATTAGCTCACACCCTAGTACTGCACAGCTGTGGCTAACAGGGTGAAAGGTGTAAACTATATGCTGCAGGCACACACTTAAATTTTTGCATGATAATACTCAGCTACTTCACAGTTACTAATTTCCTCTACATGCACAGTTAAGTGTAACAATATCTAATGTAAGAATGGTTTTACATTTTTCATAGTGTGAACAAAAAAGTAAAGACCCCGTCATTGCTGGGTCATTATGTCTGATCAGGGCTGATGTGAAAGGACAAATCCATAAAGTCAAAATTTACTGCTGTCCCTTTTGGGCTGAGGTGACATTCAAACTGTAACTCATCTTTCTTCAGCACCAGTGTTAACGCGTCTGGAACATATTAACATGCGATTATTTATGGCAAGCCATCAAGTTCAGCGGGCTTGTTAACACGCACGCAAAGTAAGCACATGTTACCACATTAAAAACTGATTTTGCTACCATCTTGCCTAAAATTAAAGCGAGAACTCCACATCTTTCTCATGAACCTGTTTTCTACTGGTCCATGTTTCCAATTGTTTTTCCACCTCTACATAAACAAATATCACCCTTCAAACCAACAACACTGTCGTCTTTTCTGTTGGTTTCTCTAAAATTAAAATTTCTGTCCACTAAAAGTATCTGGCTCTCAGTCAGTTGGTTCTTCTTTGTCACACTCCTTAAACCTCTTTTTCAACAACAGCAGGAAGGTTTCTTATTTACTTCATGCATCTGCCTGCCTTGTTCCTCTTTTTCATACATCTTTACACTGTAAAGTCCAAATTCTTGCTGCTTTTTTATTCATGTTTTTCTACACGGTAGAAAAGATCTGTCTTGGTGTTTGAGCATTTTCTGTCCCTAAGTCTAAGTCATAATGAGAGTGCACTGTTGCTGTGACCTGTGACAAACTGAATCTGCTGTCAGTCCCTCTGTGTGTCCTCCAGTAGCCTGAGATAAAAACCACTGGTATTCCTTTGAGTTCTGTGATGAGGACGTGTCTGACGCAGGACGGTGAAGCTTCTCCCTTTGGCAGGAGGAAAGATTTAACTAGTTCCTGCAGGCAAACATGAGCAGACTAACAAAACAAATGCCAACAAATACTCGTTACAAGCATACAATTATAATCAGGGCTGCACAAATAAACACACACATTTTAATACTTCCATTTACAGCTGAACAGTGTGAACATACATGCACAATCATGAAACATTCCCACACACTATATGCACTCCAACACACACAAAACACTTGTTTTTGAGGCAGATGATTTGTGTCAAGAGATGACAGAAAAGTGATGCAATGTGCTGATACAGACGCTATTCTGGGAAAGTGTGCTCATTGCTCAAATGCCACCACAGAGCAGCAAGTGTACCTTCACTCAGCAACAGCGTATGTAGACTATGAACAATTCTAATAGACCTACAGGACCAAGTCTGTGGAATCTTGGATTGCTTGTGCAGAAGGTAGACAAATTAATGTAAACACCTTAAGAACTCAGAAGTCACAGTTACTACTGCAACTTGTGATTGTCATGCATAAAAGTTTTCAAAGCAACATGAAACTGAGCTTCTTGGGCCAAATCTCTTCCTCTCTAAACAACAAAAACAGAGTTATTTGGTACAACAACAACCTAAAAATCATGTCAAAATATTCCAAACACTCACCGTGGATCATTCCCTAAACCCTCCCTTGAAAAGCGATTGTCTAATCACAGAATGAGACGACAGGCCTGTCAAGCTCTGGGTTTCTCCACATGAAGAAGCAGTGTGCAAGGGGCTGTACTAAGAGGAATATTACTTCCCTCTACAAAACCAAAAATATGAAAGCAGAAGTATAAAGAATGGATTAAACACTGTTAGTGTGTCCAGGCAGCTAGCATGCTACAGTAAGCCAATGTTACCTCCCAGACCAAGGAGCACTTTTCAAGCATTTCTGACATTTTGGGGGGTTACAGCCCCATTCATGATTAGTACATCCAGTGGGTAATACTTCTCCATAATCCTGGATGCTAGTAGTTAGAATATACTGCAGGCACCTGTACATAAATGGCTCTGACCTGCCCCGTTAGATTTGATAAGGCTCCAGAAACTCTAGCCAAACAGTCTCCAAACACACTTTCCACTGTGCATGTTAAAAGTGAAACATACTCATGCGAGTTCACTCTAACAGAGTAGCTTGTGTGGCAAAACGGAATGAAGCCGTGATGGTTTTGGAACTGTAATGTCATATTTATGACAGCTTCCAAGACAACGGAGTTCCAGTAGCTTGCTGCTAAGTATCCGTTGTGTTTATGACTGTTTCCACAACGACAAATTGTATGCAAAGCTTGGTAGTGCGACATATGTTCTTATTGTTGCAATTCCTCCTGCTACCACAGGAGCTCTAGTCAAGGAGATGCCCTATGGGCTGTATGAGTGGGCAGGGACAAACAACCACGAGGGCCGTACAGCAGTAACAGCCTGGGACATGTGGCTTTAGCGCCTGTTGTCCCAGGGTTTACACAGGTAATAATATTCTGCCTTCTGTATCTGTAAAACAGCATCTCACTTCTGTTCCATTTGATCGTTTTTTCCTGCTGGGTCCTCCTCCATTTTCACCTTCTTCCTCTTGTTTGCATCTCTTAATGGCTGATGTTCTTGTTTATTTACCCTCACCTCCTGATGTGATGTCAGTAAAACTGCTTCAAAGAGACTGTAAGCCCATTTCTATCCCCAGGAATGTATCCATTTTTTTCTGAATGCCTTTATTAAAATCACTGAATGCTATACAAGTCACATTTGTTATTATTCTTTACCTGTTACTTTATTGCAATTTTTTGCCAGTGTTCTTATCAAGCTACAACATTTACTGTACTTTGTGCTCTTCTGCCCCAGCCTGTGGTGCTCTCTCCCCTACTCAGTTTTCTATTTGTGTCCATGCTGTAACCTCTTGGAACCCAGACCCTCTGTACAACCTGCTGAGCTAAAAGGTACATTACTGTACATTCTCAGAGACGCACGTAGAAAAAGCAGCTCACTTGATGCACTGAAGAAGGTCAGGGAGAGAATATCTATCACTGTGGATGAATCAGCAGGTCTAATCTAGTCTCAGCTCCTGCTGGTTAAAATTTTTCACTGTGCCAATTTATCTTGTTGACGCACTAACATCAGGAACACACATTACCAGTGCCCTGATCTGAGCGTGGCAGCTGAAGGGACCGAATTGGACCAGGCCTGTTCCAGTCTGGGTCAGTTGGTGTTGACAGTCCTCTGATCAAATCATATAATGTGATATGTAAAGAAACTCCTCAGATCCAGCCACTGCCAGTTGTTCTTATCAAGATTTAACTTTTTTTTTTTTATCTAATTGCCTTATTGTTATTTATCTGTAAAGCACTGAATTGCATTAACCTGTGTGAAATAAAGTTTAATTTGATTAAGCTTATTCCATATTTGCGCCAACTCTGCCAACTCATAACATTACTTGTGTCGCCCTAGGGAGCTACTCCAGTAAATGAACAGTGTTACCCTTCCGCTACGCTGTCCTACACACCACTCCTCCAGGATCTCACCCAGACTCTGTACCACCCCCACCACCACCACGCACACGCATATTATATTCTAGCAGCATTGAGTGTGGTAACTGCTGATGGGTAAAAACAATGCCTGAATCTAGTGGTCCTTGATTTACCGCCAGAACTCCCATCACTACTGAATCATTGCTAAGTGTGTCACCTCAGTTGTCAGGTTAATGCTTCATCCTGACTGTCAAAAAATAACTGTTGGTGGAAATAACCTTTATGTGGATTTTGTCTTTGTAGGTTTCAATGAGTCTTTAGGTAACAAGATCTCCCTAGGCCTAGTGAAAGGACAGAAAATCACATAGTATACACATATAGAACTTGTTAAAAAGCACCCGTTTCAATATAGTGTAACTTGCACATATCCAAACAAAACCACTAGCCATGGAAAGGTTCCAACTATAATGGAGGTTGTAATGGATTTAATGGAAAATGACTCTTGAGGTTGTATTCTTACGGTTTGGATTAATACATGCCAGTACAGTTTAGACATCTCTAGAAGTCTCTTGCACTTTTCAGGCTCTCCTAAATCAGTCTGACCTGCTCGTGGTCTGAGGCCCATGCCATTACAGTCCACAGGTTGCTGAGTTCATGTGCTGTGCCCGGGGCTGGCTGAGCCCCAAATGTAACCCAGCCACTTGTAGAGTATTTGATCCACTTAACACCTGCGCCCAGAAAATAAACCTGGACTCTGAAGAGGGCCTTTACACTAAGAGCGGCTCCTTTTTTAAACCAAGACAAATCTGAAAATACTGTGAATACAGAATTTGACAAGACTGCACTGTGGCTCAAAAAGAACTTCCAATGACATCAATCAAGCCACATATATTTTAAAGACATCCCATGTAAGTGTGCTGTATGCACACTGGAAGCTGGACACTACACACATCCCACCTTGTCTGAGACTCTGACAG